ATTCCTGCAGTATTGTTTTTAACAAAGACAACAACAAAATCTCATGCTTTTCCCTTTGCTCTCTTTAGATGTCAAGGATTTTGCTGTCTGGTTATAGCAAATCAAGTTTCCTGAAGTTGTCTGGTTTGTTGAAACCACATTGGAAGCCACATATTTAATGCTTCTTCTGACTTCCTAAGACCCTAAAAGACCTCCTGACACAATTTTCTCCCTAGAAAGAGGACTTATGCAATAGGGGACAGAGTTGTTGTACAAACCATCAAGCAGCTCAGGAAACCTTGTTGGAAGGGCCTAAAATAGCATGAGAATTTCAATATAATCAAAGCAAAGGGCTGAAGAATCATTAATGTATACCACCTTAATGTTCCTGTGGCTTTGACTTTCAGTGTATTATTGTCCTCTCTTCTAGTCTGTTTTCTTTTCAGCCCTGATCTCTCTCTGGCCTCCTGTTTCTTCCCATATTCTCACTATCCCAACCTGTCTGGAATTTTCCACCTTTTAGCATCTTCTCCTTTGAGATGCTTACATAACCGTTTACTTTGGTGACTTATTCCATTATTCCCTCTCTGGACAAGATGATTTTCCTAATCGTCTTTACTTCCTAGGGCTCCCAAACTCATCATTTGGATTCCTGTTGCCTTTTAAAGTAATTTATGGCAATCACTTTTAATGGAATTTTGCATTTTTCTACCTTCCTAGCCACTTTTCTTGTGAGAATTTATACCAAGTGAAAATGCCATTTGTCCTCAGGAAACTTACTCCAGCCAAAGTTTACTAACCTGAAAATGAACACAGACTTTATGACCATTAAGTTGTCTGCTAGCTCCAAAGCTGTTTGGTTGTGTTGGTAAAATGAAGTTGAAGTTTATTAATTGCATAAATGTTTAACACACACATGGAGTTTGGTAAACACCTTCTTTGGTCACTCCTTCATAGTTGAGTTGTGTCTTGTTTTTAATGTAAAAATCATCTAATATTATCAGATACAAAGCTTCCTACTCTACCTAGTTGCATTGTCCCTTTTTCACTTATTTGAGCGCTTTTATTTTTCCTTCTTCACATTCTGGACTAAATTTTTTTTTCTTTCCACACAGTTTACAGTTTTACATTTCCTTAGTTCCATACAGGAACCAGCTGTAAAACATTATTTCTGCAAGATCCTAAAAGCCACTAAATGATAGATAAGTAAGACCTCAAGAGCATTGTAATTCATTACCCCTGCACTCCATACTCTAACCAGTGGTCCTTGAAGGGGGTGTCAATACCAGGGTGTTTGTAAGACATCATTGTAGTGCAGAAAAAAATATTCATATCTAATTATGAAATATTCATAGTACAGTTATTTAATCTCATACTTTAAAATTATCTTCATTTATGTGTTTCACAATGCATATGTTAACATAGTAATGGGTCACCTGGGTGGCTAGTCAGTTAAGCGTCCGACTTTGGCTTAGGTCATGATCTTGTAGCTTGTGAGTTTGAGCCCCATGTCTGGCTCTGTGTTGACAGCTCAGAGCCTGGAGCCTGCTTTGGATTCTGTGTCTCCCTCTCTCTCTGTTTATCCCCTGCTCATACTCTGTCTCTCTCTTTCTCTCTCTCTCTCTCTCTCTCTCTCTCTCTCAAAAATAAATAAAGATTAAAAAAATTTAAAAACAGAAGTAAATATATAGAGAATAGTCTATCTATAGCTATATCTGTATCGATTGTGCTTGTTCAAAACTTACTTATTCTTTGGGATGTGTGAGTAAAGAGTTTGGAAGCCAAATATTTGTCCTAGAAAATATTTATCTCATATTAATGTATACATGTAATATAAACTCACATTAATATAAAACCTAATGACTTTTAGGCTTTATAGACTCATTATTGACTATTACCCTTGTTAATTTGCTCCTTTATTTGTAAAATCATTTAGGCCTTGTATCAGTTAGAATTCCTTGGTTGTAAGCAATAGAAACTAACTCTGACCAACTCAGGCAAAGATACTGACAACGACACTGATGGGCTTACAAAGTCAAGGGAGAAAGAAGCTGGGCCATCTGGCCTCCTAAGAATAGAACTTCACCTGGACCTAGTGTTAGAGCCCTGCCATTGGTTGACTCTACTCTGGTTACCTCCTCCCTGAGTGTCCACTCTACTCAAGATTCACATTTCAAAAAAAAAAAAATATTCACACTTCCAAGTAAAAAGAGTCTGAATGGAACTGCTTTAGGTCACATATAACACCCTAAAAAACTTTTTTCCAGTATCCTTCCATGGAAAGTCCTTTCCAACCATCCAAGCTTATAAATTCAGACCGCAGGACATGACTACTTGCTAAAAAATGCCAACTCTAGTAATATAATCTTTTCTTTATATTCATGAATAGGAAAAAAGATCACGATTAGTCTAAAATGTCACTCACCTGCCCTGAGCAAAACTTTTGATGTTTTTACTTGGTTGTGGGTTTTTTTCCCTTTACATTTCAGTTAAATGACATTTGAATTTTTAAATGATCTTTATGAAGTTGAGACAAAAATGTTCACCAAAGATCAAGTATAATGTAAATTTAAATAAATAAGTGAATAAATATATACCCTTAGAATAAATCTTAGTAAATTTAGAATCAATTTTAAATTGATTTTTTTTCTTTTTGAGAGAGAGTGTGTGAGCAAGTGGGGGAGAGGGAGAAAGAGAATCTTAAGCAAGTCCCACACTCAGTGCCGAGCCTGATGTGGGGCTCAATCTCATGATTATGAGCCAAAATGAAGAGTTGAATGCTTAACCTCCTGAGCTACCCAAGCACCCTAAATTTATTTTTAAATCCATTTGCTTTTCCCACTTATATAAATAAATTACGATACTCTGATACTATCATAAAATCCAAGTTTAGTCACTTCTACCTTTAATTCATAGAAGACAATCTAAAATGTTTAGATTTATATTTAATTTTCTGGGGCGCCTGGGTGGCTCAGTCGGTTGAACATCCGACTTCGGCTCAGGTCGTGATCTCACGGTTCATGGTTCGAGCCCCATGTCAGGCTCTGTGCTGACAGCTCGGAGCCTGGAGCCTGTTTCAGATTCCGTGTCTCGCTCTCTCTCTGCCCCTCCCCCACTCATGCTCTGTCTCTCTCTGTCAAAAATAAATACACATTAAAAAAATTTTTTTTAATAAATTTAATTTTTCTGAAGGTTCAAATGCTTGGAGTAGGGGTAGAAGTAGAAGGAGTATTTTGGAGAAATGTGCTCTTAAATGTTGATTCTCTTTCTTCAGATAGTCTGTGAGAAAATATTTAAGGGAGAATCTTCAAGCACAGATTAGATAATCTCCTTTGAATTTGAAAAAATTATTTAGTGAGGATATTTTTTTCTGTCACATAATTAACTTTTTCACAGACAAAATTTTTTTAAATTTATTTTTAATGTTTATTTATTTTTGAGATAGAGAGACGGAGCACAAGTAGGAGAGGGACAGAGTGGGATACACAGAATCGGAAGCAGGATCCAGACTCCGAGCTGTCAGCACGGAGCCCGATGTGGGGCTCGAACCCATGAACTATGAGATCATCACCTGAGCTGAAGTCGGACACTTAGCCAACTGAGCCACCCAGGCGCCCCTTCACAGACAAAATTGGAAGGGCATAGATGAAGATTCTGTGTGGGACAGGATTTATACAATGGTGGAATAGGTTAGGTCATTGTGAGATGCAATTCATGTGGAACCAAAACATACTGCCTACCCTCTGCCCAAGTATATTCCACCAATATTTAAGTATATTTCCCCCACTGAAATACCCATGTGGCTGAATATGGCCTTTGAATTTCATGATAAAAGTCAGATGTCATCCTGGAAGAATCAAATATATCCAAATTTAAATCTTAATCAGTGCCTTTCTCCTAGTTGGCTTATAAATAGCCAGAGCCTAAAACAAATGTGACACCTAAGAGGTGCTTTTCAAAACAGGAAATCAGGGAGTGGAGGCCCATGGTGTGGGTGTAACCCAACAATTTCAGAGCAGGTCAAGGGAAGAGCACTGGACAGCCTGCATGAGGAACGGGAGTGTGAAATGCAAGGAGAGACTTTGCTCCTAATTTTCTTAAGGGTTAATTATGATTATTTCTAACAGGTGTAATTAGTGGGATGACATGACTGAAATACTTGGTTATACCTCTTCACTGTAGTCCTTCCATCTGTAATCTCTATAAAGGAAAACAACTAATTCTATTCACGGTGTTGGATTAAATAGATGCCGTTAATTTGAAACTAGACAGGTGTGATTTGTCCAGAGTTGATCGTGTGATGGAAAATAATTTGATTCACATTCACAAGTAACCTACTATGTGCATACAACCATAGAAAAATTCTCAAATGCACCACAATTTAGTAATGGACAGAGGGAGGAGGAGGGAGGGAGGGAAGCGTACAGTTCAGATACAAATTACATGCCAAAATAAATAATATAGACAGGTAGTTAAAAATGTAGAAGTTTAAAAAAATTGAGGTTAGTATGATCAGGAGCAGATTAAATATCAGCATGCGGGAATAAAACTTGAAATGGGGCTTTAAGAATAGGGAGGTTTGGATACGAGAAATACAAAATAAGAGGATCATTCTAGACTTTGGCTATGACGAAATTCTGATGTAGGATACTTCACATTTTTTTTTTTAACATTTATTTATTTTTGAGACAGAGAGAGACAGAGCATGAACGGGGGAGGGTCAAAGAGAGGGAGACACAGAATCCGAAACAGGCTCCAGGCTCTGAGCTGTCAGGACAGAACCCAACGCGGGGCTCGAACTCACGGACCGCGAGATCATGACCTGAGCCAAAGTCGGATGTCCAACCGACTGAGCCACCCAGGCGCCCCTGACGTAGTATACTTTAATGTGAAGTTCAAGTTCTGTGGCAGCTTTACGGGAACAGAATTTTAATATTAGTTTGTAAGCAAATTTGTTACAACTGGAGTCTCTTTGCATGAGTAATTAATGCAGGAATGTAAGTCTTGTTTCTTCCTTCCAGGTGTGTCTGCACAACTCACCAGCACTTGGCACCGTAGGAATACATCTGTGGGAACACCATTTTGGATGGCTCCTGAGGTAAGACAGTTTTGAGAGAGACAAATGTAATATTGAATCCTTTCTGGCTTTCCTTTTCATGCATGCACTGTCGCCCCATGTTTAGGAATGTACTAGAAGGAAACGTCAGTTGTGTCATTTTTATGAGAGATTTTTGTATGAGAAGGAACATGGGAGGTGCTCAATACATGGGCGTGAATGAATGAATGAGTAAATGAAGGATTGAATGAATAAATTCAATGAGGTCAAGAGAAACTGCTTGCGGCCTTGATTTTCTGTTAAATTTACTTTTAGTTGCTCAGCACGTATCTATATTATTGATATTTAGATTTTGTTTTTAAACTAAGAAATATTATGACAATCCCTAACCTTTGTTTAGTATCAGATTTTCGCTTATTAACCTATGTAACGGGTTCCTATATTGAGTGAGTCTGCCTGGGAGGGCCATGCTCATCTTGGGTGACTCTTGGGAAGTGGTGAATAAACTGCCAAAATTGCTGAGGGAGAAAGTTTTCTAGAGTCCCGTCTTCTCTCCACAGCCCCTGTTAATGCCTTTAATCTTTTTAATTATGTTTATTAGTAAAGAAGACTTATGTTTGAAAACTCTCAGCCTCTGGGGAGGGTTCTGCTATTTATCTACCATTTTCTAGGGAGTGAAGGGAGAAGAAGCAGTTCAAATGCTACATTAATATTGCAAAATTTTAGAACTAAGTGTGTTTGAGGATTAAATCTTTGTGTGCTGTTTCTATTTTAATACTAATTCAATTATTACTTGCAAAAAAGTAAAATGTAAATGTAAAAGATGGAGAAAGGATACATTATCTTAAGAATCTTTTAAAAACTCCAATGGATTAAAAAACTCTTTTTTCTTTTTAATTTTTTTAAATATTTATTTACTTTTGAGAGAGAGAGAGTGTGTGCGAGTGAGCACGGGAGAGGAGCAGAGAGAGAGGGAGACACAGAATCTGAAGCAGGCTCAAGCTGTCAGCACAGAGCCTGATGCGGGGCTCGAACCCACAGACTGGTGTATCATGACCTAAGCGGACGTTGGACGCTTAACCGACTGAGCCACCCAAGTGCCCCTGAATTAAAAAACTTTCAAGCAAGGTGTACATCTTGGAATAAAAATAGAGTAATCATATAAACAAAACCAAAATTGAATTAAGGGATTCTCAAGTGAGAGTTTCTTCAGTTTGTTCTGATGTATTACTAGTGTTTTAAAAGCTTGGGGCGCCTGGGTGGCGCAGTCGGTTGAGCGTCCGACTTCAGCCAGGTCACGATCTTGCGGTCCGTGAGTTCGAGCCCCGCGTCAGGCTCTGGGCTGATGGCTCAGAGCCTGGAGCCTGTTTCCGATTCTGTGTCTCCCTCTCTCTCTGCCCCTCCCCCGTTCATGCTCTGTCTCTCTCTGTCCCAAAAATAAATAAATGTTGAAAAAAAAAAAAATTTAAAAGCTCATGACAAAATTTTAAAAATAAATTGATAAAATATAGGGATAATATTAAACAGTGTATCTTATTTATGTATATTAGTAATATAAATGCTATAATATGTAATAATTGTACTATTACTTATTAATATTAAATAATAGTGTAGCTTTATATTTTTCATATGTTATAGTAACCATTGTTCTATGTGTAAGTTTGCTTTTAGTGAAAAAGCAATTAAAAAAAAAACTTCTTTAAAGTGTTTTTTTTGAGAGAGAGCATGAGTGGGGGAGGGACAGAGAGACAGGGAGACATGGAATCTCAAGGAGGCTCCAGGCTCTGAGCTGTTGGCAAGAGCCTGATGCAGGGCCCTAACCTATGAACTGCAAGATCATGACCTGAGCCAAAGTCAGGCGCCCAGGCACCCTAGTAAAGAAAGCAGTTTTGATTAGTGGATCTTGGAACAACTCTCACATATAAGTAAAAGAAAATATTTTGATCTATCTAAAACTCAATTATCAGAGTATTAAATGAGTTAATCATAAAATTGACACTCCTTAAATATGCAGTTCCTAGACTGTCATTTTACTGGTAGGTCATTATTTGTTATCAGTAAACGGGGTTTGAAAGTGCTTTCCTGCTTAACAAACCAATGGGTATTACATAAAAGGGAAAGATTCACTGCCGTCTTTTCAAGCTGTCATATAAATACATATATATTCCATATTTTGTGCATATTATATGTCTTTCTGTAATAAGCATTTTCTAACTTGTGAATAAGTGTCAGTATTTCAATAAATGTCCATTTATTTAGAACTGTTGAAGAGTATATTTTGAATAACCAGCTATCTAGCTAATGAAGGCATCACATATATACCAGCTCTATGTCATTAATGACAAATCTCTTAGATTAGAAAATAGTAAGGTAAATAGTTTTAATATGTTCTCCATAATTAATGGCATAAATTTATTTCAGTGTTTTTACGGCCTCAGAGGCAAGATTGTTCAAGTCAATTATAAGTTGAAAAGTGAAATTCTTGATTTGACATTTAAAAAAAAATTTTTTTATGTTTGTTTATTTTTGAGAGACAGAGACAGGGCATGAGCAGGGGAGGGCAGAAAGAGAGGGAGAATCTGAATCAGGCTCCAGGCCCCAAGCTTTCAGCACAGAGCCCAATGTGGGGCTTGAACCCATGAACCATAAGATCATGACCTGAGCTGAAGTCAGATGCTTAACTGACTGAGGCACCCAGGCACCCCTTGATTTGATATTTTTAAATTAAAGTCTAGATCAAAGGTAGCAGTCGTTGATTACATAAAACCATCCTTTCCAAACTGAAATCCGTGTGTGTCAGGATGGAGGGCACAAGGGAAATAGTGACCATGATAGGTGAACATATACTTTTTACAAGCCATGACACTTTGCAGAGAGAAAGGGGATGATATTTATAATGACTCTAGGAAAGCAAGCATAAAACCAAGAATGTCTTAGGCAAATTGGGGCATAAATTCACCCAAGCCTTTGGTGAGATATTCCAGGATCACATGTAGCCATAAAATAATGAAAAAACATATGGTGGGGCAAGATACATTTTTATATTAAGGACGTTGAAGATACACAACAGAACAGAAAATTCATATGAATGTGTTTTTTATTTTTAACAGCTTTATTAATATAAAATTCAAATACACATACCATATAATTAGCTTATTTGACATGTACAATTTGGTTACTTTTAGGTGTATATTTACAGAGTTGTGCAACCATCATCAGAATCTAGTTTTAGAGCATTTTCTTTCCCTCTAGAAGAAATCCTTTACTCAGTAACAGTCACTCCCAAGCTCTCCTCCCAAGCTCTCCTACACTAGGCAACCACTAATCTGCTTTTTGTCTATGGATTTGCTTATTGTGAACATTTCATGTAAATAGAGTCATACACTATGTGGCCTTCATGTCTGGCTTCTTTCTTTTAGTGTTTACCCATGTTGTAGCATGTATCAATAGTCCATTGCTTTTGATGGCTGAATAATATTCCATTGTATGCATATACCATATTTTGTTTATCCATCACCAGTTGATGGACATTTGGGTTGTTTCCCCTTTGGGGCTATTATGACTAATACTGTGAATATTTGTCACGTGAATTTTTAACATAAATTGGGGACTTTTATGCTTACTTTTGCTACAATGCTTGCTAAAGTCATAAACTTCACTTTTTTCCCCCCCTATTTTCTACTAGGTGATTGCATGTGAACAGCAATTGGATACCACTTATGATGCCAGGTGTGACACATGGTCCCTGGGGATTACAGCCATCGAGCTAGGGGATGGAGATCCTCCACTGGCCGACCTGCATCCTATGAGAGCACTCTTCAAAATACCAAGGTCAGAGGATGAACATGGGGTACAGTATCTGTAGCCTGTCTTTCTTCCCCAAGCCAGTGGTGCTCATCATGGAAATATTCAACATATTTCAGCAAGTTTGAAGCACAGTGGCCTGGAATATCATTCTGCCTATTCTGAGACACTGTATTTATTCAATGGTTTCATTTTCCTGGTCTAAATAAGATCTTTCTCTTGACACTCAGTGCGTTTTCCTTTTTGGAGGATTTGATCTCAGAAAACAGCAGTTCCTTTCACTCTTGATCCACTCCCAAATTTGTCAGGAAGGCCCTGGGCCATAGTCAGTGCAACAGTGATTCGCTTTGCTTTACTCTATCAATCCAGTAATTTTTTACTACTTGCTAAGACGTCTCTTTGGAAGTTTAAAATGATATTACTAATAAAATTATAAACAGATTTGACTGATAAAATAGTAATGATTTTGAACTTGTTAATATTTTGAACATATTAACATAGAACAGTAACTTTAGAATAATCTCTTTGGAGCCACGAAAGCACTTTCCTATCTACGTAGACCCCTCCCCTTCAGTGAGTATATTGACAAATTTTCCCCTTTTTATCGTATTACTAATTAAACACTATTTTTTACATGTTTTGGTTAGTTCCTAGATATTTCCAAAACCTGATTTGAAAAGACTGCCTGTTTTTAATACAAATATGTTACCTTTTGAGGGCTATCTTAAAGACTGTGCCTGGTACCATAATTCTAATGGAGTGCACACCCAGGGCCTGTGATGAAAGGGGTCGAGGGCAGGGTAGTAGGGTAGTATGTTATATAGCTTGTTACCACTCTCCATTAAACAAATTTTGTCACCCTAGTGCCTATAGCATGTAGAATCATATATGCAAAGCCCTGGGGTGCAGTTCTCCAGTCCTAAAGAAATAATGCCAATATGTCGTATTCATGTCTAAATGGGTCCATTTGGGACATTTGGCATGTATTTAAATTAGTAGAAGACCAAAGAATTCGAGTGTGTTTTTAATTTTATCTTTGACCTTCCTGTCTGATATACATGTTCTGAATTATAATGCCTTATCATCCTTTATGTAACAATGTGAATGTAAATCTCAGGTCTAACTTACTTGTAAAATATACTGCTTATTCGGTAAGAGGGGAAACAAGATTACAAAAAAAGAACAGAAAACCGGCTCTCTGCCAAGTCTAAGCCATTTCATTAAATTTGAGGAAAACAGAAAAAAAAATGTATGTTTCCTAACTCCTACTGTCATTCAGTGTGTAAGAAGCACTGTACTTCCTGAGCCATTTTAATTATGGTTTAAACTACCAAGGTTGTTAGCCGGATGTTATTACTCTTGGTAATGACACCAGATGGAGGAGGAATGACACCACCATTCGTGTTTATTGCACCTGTGAGCAAGGTGCTTCTGGAAACTACATTCTCTTACTTATTTCTCCTTACTTCTGCCACCATGTCAGAGTATATCTCTGACATGAAGTTCTTAGAACACTAACTGTAGAAATAATTGGGGGGAAAAGAGGGATCTGAAAAGCTACCTTGTTCTGAGTGTTCTCAAATCATCGAAACTTTGTTATACTCAAAGCAAGCCAATAAATCTCTTAGAAAGGAAATTTTCAGGAGGACGAGAAGCAAAGCAAGACCATTGGAGAAAAGAATTACTTCTTTTAATGTGCAAATCAGCAGTCTTCAAATGGCCCTGAGAATTGTACAATGAGCCCTAGGTGTGATCTAGGGTAGATGAGTGGCTGCACTTTTCTTTAATGAGCCTGTACAAACTGTACACTAATTTCATTATAAGCTATTTAAGGAGTAATGCAGAACTGAAGACAAAGTGTTTCCATTCTACTAATGAAAACAAAGAGCTGTTAGAATTAGCGTAAGGCAGTACTTCAGCAAGTTCAGCCATCATGGTTGATCAATGCTGCTTGATTACAAAGTTAGATCAGCCTCATTTCCAAGTGATGTGCCTTTGTATTCCTGAACATGCCAAAAACAAAAAGATTTGTTTGGCCTAAAAATAAGAGAAACTAATAACAAAATCTTTTAAGTGGCATTCAGAGCTTTATAGCTAATCATATTTTCCAGTTTCTTACTTTCGTAACCTTGTTTCCAGAAGCAACAGAACAGCTCCTAAAGGCATTCTATTAATGCCCCTCTCTGCCACAGTCTCCCTCGTATTCTGAACAGCACACCTTTGAGGTTACCTCTCTGTACCCTGGATATTCCTCAGAGGCTTCTGCAGGACTCAGAGTTAAAAAAAAAAAATCTGTAGTATTCATTGTTTCTATTCTGCCAAGTTATTGATGTTTCCCCATAGGGCTCTCAGGTAAAAGCAGAAAGACTCCTTAAAAGAAAAAAATTTATCAGTTAGAAAAATTGGGTCATCTATTAAGCGCATTCAGAGAAACAAGCTGTCATTTTATATAAAGAATGATTAATAACTAATTATCTGTCTTTGAATTGGAAAATTGTGGCCCTGCTTGATGATGCCTGGCAGAACCTCTGACTGCAGTAACGCATTAGTCTGTCCAGCTCTGATTGTGCACTGACTGACCAACGTGCACAATCCAACCTTGATTCTTATTTTTCTAGGAATCCACCCCCCCATCTAAGGCAGCCTGAGATATGGTCAGCAGAATTCAATGACTTCATTAGCAAGTGAGTAACAACAGAGTCTTTCTTTAAAAATTGTTTTCAACATTTTTTTTTTTTTTTGAGAAAGAGAGATAGAGTGTGAGTGGGGGAGGGGCAGAGAGAGAGGGAGACACAGGATCAAACCAGGCTCCAGGCTGAGCTGTCAGCGCTGTGCCCAATGTGGGGGCTCGAACTCAATGGACTGTATGATCATGACCTGAGTGGAAGTTGGATGCTTAACCCACTGAGCCACCCAGGTGCCCCAACAATAGAGTCTTAAAAAAAATGAGAGAGAGAAAGATACCATCTTGCTAGAACTTTGAAATGTGCCTTTTACAACCATTCCTCCATGCTTCTGAATCTCCTCCTTATGTCTTATCTATTGAATAGCCCCAGTAGTTTCTATTATTTTCTTCAAAACCAAAAACGTTTCTTCTGAATGTTCAGTGAATTCATTATTGCTCTAATAATGATCTTAGGGTCACGTTTCTTTGCTTAACCATAGCTATGCTCCTGAAGTTGCATTGTCCATTTACACATCCTTCTGTCTACCTGCCTTTTGCAAGCTGTGCCCTTAGCATCTTCCACACACTCAACCCAACCATCATCTATTCAATCAGCTTTTTAACCTTTCATTTATCTGCACCTCTCATTCTTGTCACCATCAGGGAATTTTCATTGCAATCAATGAATCAGATAATTGTACAGGTAAAATGCTTATGTATTTGAAATTTAGCGAACATTATTTATTTGGAAATTCAGTTAACAGTTTTTTAAATGTTTGTTTATCTTTGACACAGAGAGAGACAGAGTGTGAGTGGGGGAGGGGCAGAGAGAGAGGGAGACACAGAATGTGAGGCAGGCCCCAGGCTCTGAACAGTCAGCACAGAGCCCAATGCGGGACTCAAACTCATGAACTGCGAGATCATGACCTGAGCCGAAGCTGGACGCTTAACTGACTGAGCCACCCAGTGCCCCTCAGTGAACATCTTTAATTTGACAAATATTTAGCACAAGTGCAGCACCTTTGGACAGTTGACTTGAAGATATGAGTGAATGATTTCTAAATATCTGCCCCACAAGCCTATTTTCACAGTCTTACTATGTTTTCACCATAAATTAATAATAATAATAGTAGTAGTAGTAGTAGTAACAGTAGTAATAATAAGGTAAGGGATGACGCAGTTTGTAATTGGAAGAGAGAAGACATTAAGAGTAGGTGTGTTACATCAACAATTATAACCAAACTGTGGAGGGAGCCCAAGTGTCCAGCGACTGATGAATGGATAAAGAAAATGTGGTGTGTGTGTGTGTGTGTCTGTGTGTGTGTGTGTGCGCGCGCATATATATACACATACAACAAATATTACTCAGCCATGAAAATGAAATCTTGCCATTTGCAACAACATGGATGGAGCTAGAGTGTATTATGCTAAGAAAAATAAGTCAGAGAAAGACAAATCTTAAATTCACTCATATATGGAATGGAAGAAACAAAACAGATGAACGTATGCCGGGGGAGAAAAAAAGAAAGAGGCAAACAAACCATGAAGACTCTTAAAGATAGAGAACAAACAGGGTTGACAGAGGGAGGTGGGCAGGGCACGGGCTAGATGGGTGATGGGTATTAAGGAGGGCACTTATGATGAGCCCTGGGTGTTGTATGTAAGTGATGAATCACTGAACTCTACTCCTGAAACCCATATTGCACTGTATGTTAACTA